ATGAAGTTGGTTTGGAAACATATTCAGCGATGCTTGCTTCATCTCCTGCTTTGCGTTTCTGTGGGCGCCCCGTGTTAGCAGTGTCCAAGCGTTTTGTCCCCCCCCCCTCTTTCATTCCGCGACCCCCCTGCAATGGCTCTGCGCCCCCCCCTAGGGGGCGGCCCCCACACTTTGGGAAGGTCTGGCCTAACATATGAAACAGGAAAGACCGTCGTGTAGTCCCTTTATTTTAGCAAAGTAACTGTATTCTGAATACCACCTTTTTAAACGGTAACTGTAACGGAATACAGTTACTCATATTTTGTATTTTAAATACGTAACGGCGGCACATGTATTCCGTTGCTCTCCAACACTGTTCCCCCTTGCCTCTGTGTTAACACACACCTGAATGATCCAGACTAGAAAACTGCCAAAACTGCCAGTGATCACTGCAGTGTAGTTTATTAGCAGCACCAGTTGGTATTAAACCTTTTAATTTCCATGGAAAACATGATTTAGTGTCATTCATCTGAGGTTGTATTTAAAGGGCAAATAAAACATGAAAGACATAAAAGAATAAGTTACTGCTACCGAAGATGCTGAAGAGGCTAACTCTTTTTCTGTTTATTAGGCCAGAAAAACTGGACTTAATTGGGTTACTGAGTATGTGCATATACATTTGAGTCCAGTGCTCTACTGAGAAATATGTATCATATATTTTCTATTTCATTACTTTTACAGGAACCAACTAAATTTCATCACAGAAGAGCTAAAAGACCCATTCAGGTAAAAACAGGCCTTAAAGAGACTCTAGTGTTAAGCAATAACTCACAAGGCATTGAATTTTTTTTAAAATACTTTTTCTTTTGTTGATTAATTTCAGGGACTTGCCACTGGCGATTGTTATTGGGATTCCTTTGGTTACTGTGTGCTATGTTTTGGTCAATGTTGCTTACTTCACTGTTATGACCACAACTGAACTGCTTTTGTCTCCAGCGGTTGCTGTGGTAAGGATAACACTGGTCAATAAGCATCTTGCTACTGGGATTCACTCACCTATACTTTAACAAATGTTTACTTAGTGACTGCAAATCTGATAATCATTTTTATCTAGCTAGTAATATTAGTTTTTAGGTATGATGTTTCAAGTATTTGACAGTTACAGTAACTGGATAGAAAGGATGATGTGTTTCAGAATTTAAGAAAAAAAGTTTGGTTTCGAGAAAAGTGAAGACAAAATCAAAGAAGGTTTATTTTTGTGTTGATCCTGAAAAAGCTGCTGACTTCTCAGCTTGCCCAGCCTAAGTCACCATTAATGTGAGATGGACACGCTTGTAAAATGGAAACAGCTAAGTTTTCTCTGAGTACAAAACAAGCTTTCTGCAACAATAGCTGACTGCAGGGTCAAGACAACTGTAATGTAAAGGATGGATGCAAACAACCAAGGAGCTTTATTACAACACTGTCTGTAATAAAAGGAAGAGATTGTATTACTTTTTTGGTGGGAGATAGGAAATTAGACATAGTGATATATAATATTGATATTAAAGTGTCAAAATCAAGCTTCATATCTTGAATTACTGTAAATGACATGACAATTGTAAATGAGCATAATAGCCCCATGTTTTCACACCTTGTATTTTCTGAAACATTAGTTTGTATTTTTTTAGACTTTTGGAGACAGAGTCCTTTACCCAGCATCTTGGATTGTTCCTCTCTTTGTTGTCTTCTCAACATTTGGTTCTGCCAATGGAAGCTGCTTCACTGCTGGCAGGTAAAAGAGACATCTATTACATATTGCATGTCATGCTGATAGTTTGGCATAATCTAGATTATTTCTGTCAGTACCTTTAGAGCGGTTTGAAGTGCATATTTATGTATGTGTAAAAATGAAACAACATCTGAAAATGAAAGTTAGAATCCTGAAGGGGATGGAACGAAAAAGCAAATAAAAAAATACAACAAATTTATAGCAAAAAGAAAAAAATTAATAATGTAAACCTAATGTTTTTTGCTCTACAGATTGGTCTATGCATCTGGCAGAGAAGGACACATGGTGAAAATCTTATCCTACATTAATGTGAAACGCTACACTCCTGCTCCTGCTCTTATATTCAATGTGAGTCTTACGCATTAATGACTCATTTTGTATGCATTCTATTTGGCCTCAGATGATCAGCCATCTATTGTTTAAAACGTTATATGTCCTTTCACGGTGTGTTGATTACAGATGGTAAAAGTTTTAAATGAGCCCAAAAACCAGTGTCATTTCAAGTCCTATAAATTTTACATGGATTCTCAGATAAACAATACACTGTGTTGTTTCACTACATGGCATTTCACTGTTTAATTTTTCTCTGTTTTAGGGTGTTTTGGCTATTTTCTACATTATTCCAGCAGATATCAACGCCCTCATTAACTACTTCAGCTTTGCTCAGTGGTTTTTCTATGGGCTGGCAGCACTGGCTCTCATAGTCATGCGCTTCACTAGAAAGGACCTGGACAGACCAGTTAAGGTGAGCCTAGTTTATCTTTTATGCTGTTTGGCACAAAAGATCATTTTATTCATTTTGATGCCTTGTTAATTTGGATTGACAAACCACATCATACAAAAAATGACCACAATCAAGCCTTGAGATGAGGATTTATTTTATTTATTTTAACAATACCTAGTTAACAGAATAGTTATGATCAGTAATAGAAGGTCAAATATATACTTGATTTTAGAAAATTTTATCAGTTTTTTAGAAAACATTTCTATCTGTTTTGACTCGTCTATGCAGTCAACAGTAATTTCTGTTTTATTTGTTAGTCAGCCATATTTAGCTTTTGTCTCAAAATGTAGTAGTAAAAGTTATTATTTTTAAGTGTTACATCAAATATTAGACAATCAAA